AAATCCTTCCTAAAAGCAAATGCTCTCCTGCAAGGAACTGCAGCTCCATACGCACTCAGAAAGGCAGCAGTTTGCAAACCCCAGCCCAGCTGACTATCTGCACATGTCTCAAGGAGGAGAAAACCCCCAGCAACAGCCATCTCACCTATCAGACTGCCTCGCTGCCTGGCTACGAGGGGTTTTTCCTTTTGTTTTTACATGAACTGCACCGTTCCCACCTGTCCCCTGTTAGACGGCCTCTAGAGTACTTCGTAACTGAGCTCATGGAGGTAAGCGAGAAGGTTTGGGAGCGGAGAGGACGGGATTCCCCCCCGCGCGTTTCGGGCATCCTGACCAGGTCCTGCAGCACCGCAATGAAGATGCCGCCACCTGCTGGGACCTCCTCGGGCTCGGCTGGAGGCCGGGGGCAGCCGGGACCCCGGGCACGGAGGGTGGCGGCTCACACTCCCCATCCCCAAATCGGCAAAAAAGCCGGCCAGCAGCCTGAGCAGGGCTGGAAGGAAAGGATCTGCTGACAGCAAGATGCTACTCGTCACCAAAGCCTGTTGGTACTCATCCAAAGCAAGACGGTTTGGATACTGATAATCTTGGCGTTTTCAGATGTGACTGCAAACAGTGGAATAAAACAAGAATATAAAAAGAAAAGGTAGATATAAAGCTACTTACAAAGTCATAGTGAGGCAGGCTGCAAAGAGACAGAAACCCCTCAGAAAAGAGTTGAAATCACTGATATAAAAGAGCTGAGCAAGGCAGACAACGAACTGCTGGAATGGATAACTCACAGAAATTGGGCTTTTGAACTGAATTTCACATGATTAGGAGATGCTTCTGCTCAGTGCCCAAGCCACAGCTATTTTTTAATCTCTGCATGACACCACGTACATTACCGTGGCTTCAGTCCTGAGCATGAGTCTGGTATTTTCTGAGGGCCAATTCTTAAAAGCCTGGAGCTCAGGTTTGAGGCAGCCAAGAGATGTTTCTGTCTGGTTGCACAGGGTCTAGGGCTTTTTCTGGAGTTAGAGCCAGCCAAGCTCTATTTGCAGATTGATATCCATTAAAAGGCACGGAGCCCCACTAGCCTGTGCTTGAAGAGCCTTCTTCTGCCAGGAGAGCAGGGGGCTAGGAGGGTCATTCCAGCAGCCAGGAATGTCTCCAGACTGCCACAGGATTAGAGGACAAGGTGATGAAAGAGTCCACATCCTATCTGCAGTTGAGTTTGTACAACTACCATCATCTTTTAGCACTGCTGCTAAAAGAGAAAGACATTTCCTAGTCCAGATAAGGCCCCAGAGCAACAATGTCTGTTCACAGGATGAGCAGTCAAGAACAGACTCTTCCCTGTGCTATTTTTTGCATATTTCAGCAGCCCTTTTTTTGCAATTTTAGCACAGGAGCTTAGAGCAGGCACATCATCAATGAATCTGACAATGCCGCCACAGAAGTTTGCAACCTGTTTAGACACAGACTGTACATCAGGCAAAAACCGATTCTACCCCCATCACATGCAACATTTAACACCAATGCTGTGATGCTGGCTTTGGAATTCATTCCTGCAAAATCCATGGATGTTCAGTCAGCCACACCAGGCAATGTAATTGCTCTGTTTCCACAGCTAGCACTGAAAATGCTGTCTTATTCACAGTTATTGCCCGGCCTCCTCCTCACAAAACCTGTTTCAAAGAGCAGAGAAAAAGACCTTGAAACATGGGTGGGTGCTTTCAAAAGTCAGTTATCACTTTTAGAGAGAGGAAAAAGAAAAAAAAACCAACACAGTATTAATCCAGGCAAAACACCTCCCCCCTCCTACCCCTTGCACACATGCCATGAGTCTGAATGGAAGCCGTCACCCAGAACACATGTCGATACATCTTTTACAGAAACATTAGTTGTGTGTCAAAACCAGTTCTTGGAAACATCATCTAACAGCACTCACATGATTTGTGTTTCACGAGCAATTAAACCTATCACTCTGACAAGCAAATCTGCTGCTCCTGTCCACTATTCAAACATCAGGTTAGAGGAAACTAATTATATTTCAAACTCCGTCCATGGGTAGGGAAACTGTATTTCCATGATAATGTCCTGGCTAATTCACTTAAGCAGAAGCTGCTGAACCTCCAGAACACAGAATGAAACAGCCACCCTTGGAACTAGTGCAGCTAAGGCAGGAAATGCAAAAATAGCCAGACTGTGATTTAGATCTCGTAGTGAAGTCAGACAAGACCTCAGTGTCACACTGAAATCACATCCCAGACATTGTAAAGTCCTACTGTATTCACATCACTGTCATACCGCTGGCAAGCCGCAGAGACCAGCAGTGATGGAACTTTACTGCTAAATTCTTTTCTCTGTGCTAACAGATGAAGTTTTAAAGGCTCTGCAACCAGAGCAGTTCCCCTCATGGCAGTAATTACTTCCTTGGACAGAGACAAAGTGGATGGCACACCACAGCCAAGTAGGGACGCACAGAAACAAACAGCTGTCTGTCTTTAAGTGGCTGCTGAGCTCTTTTTCTTTAAAATACATCTTCCCACTACTAGGGACACTTTTCAGACAGTCACCTTTCATTTGGAACTACTCCCCAAGACAGCAGTTTATGATCACAGAGACACGCAGAAAAGAAATGCAGTGACATCAAAAGCTGTATTTTTTTGCTGTGCCAGAAAAAGCTTCTCCACTTTTCATGTGCTCGATATTCCTTCCCTCCCCCAGCCATTCATGGTGAAATAATTAGTGTTAGTGTTCTCATTGTTTATCAGACAATACAGACAATAAGGCTAAGCTTTCTGCTCCTGTTTTCTTTCGCTATGCTGCTGTGGTTCCTCAAACAACTGTGCAAGGCTTTACTTTTAATCCTATGAATAACACTTGTCACTCATAGGTTTGTAACCCATATTTAGCTGTGCACAAACATGGCACAGTTTCAGCTTGATTCATTGTCCGCAAACTTCTCCAGATGTGCTCATGCAAGGAAAAAAAAAAAGGCTAATAGGCAGAAGGAAACAAACAAATACTAGCTAATCCGATTGCAATTTCTTAGGGAAGGAGAGAAGACACTACCACATCAGACTCTTTATGAGGGAGAGGGATAATGAGTTGTTTTTAAACACAGACTAGAAATAATTAGTTATTGTCCTTGGGCTACGAGATGTATTTTTATGTGCTGATTTTTATAGCCTGTGAGCTGGCTAGGCCCTGTCACCGTGGATTTTTCCCCATTTATCTACACATTAATGTCAAACTACAAGCACATCACAACATACGACTTTATCAACGTACAATGTTCCTCACTGTAGCTAATTTTGAAACCACATTCCTGCTTCCACTCATGGAAGACACAACCTTGGGTAACAATCAGATAGGCTGGTGCCAGACATCCTCTTCTTAAGTACATTCTCATTTTACCTTTAGAAAGTGTTCTCAACAATCCGAAGGCAAACTGCTTTCTTTGGAACTTCTTTTGACAAGAGCAGAGAGATATTTTTGCATAAGGCTGCATTTTAGAGTCTCAGCTCAAGGCTGGGATTAACGAAAGCAAGGTAGGCAAGAAGCAGCAAGCTAAACACAGTGGAAACTACTAAAAATCCCAAACTTCTATTACAATTAATTGTGCTAAGTATAACTTTGCTCATTGACGTACCAGACAGAAAGCAGACAGACAACCTCATCCCACTGCACCAGCTTTTCAAGCTTCCAAAATAAACACAAAGGTTTATTTGTGACCGTGCTCTCCAGAAAACCTGCAGCCTCGTTTTCCTCATTTGATATGTGCGAAGGCTCAGGCTGGTGGTACTCACAATAATTACCTGCCATCAGCCAAGACATGCAGCAGAGTTGTTGCATATAACTTATTCATGTCATCGTTGTGTTTCAGGAATAACACAACCAGTAACAGATCAATGACACACAGAGAGCATTTGCTTCTAGTTTTACAGGTCAGTGAAAACCTGGAGAATCTCACTGGGATTCAGGACAGGGGAGGAAGATGAGAGGGACAATCACCAGCATGAGACACGTTAAAAAGTACCAATAAAAAAGTGCTTTTACAGGTTCTCCATAATCATAGAAACATGGAATGGTTTGAGTTTGAAGGGACCTTAAAGATGGTTTTGTTCCAACCTCGCTGCCATGGGCAGAAACACCCTCCAGAAGAGCAGGCTGCTTCAAGCCCCATCCAACCTGGCCTTGAACACATCCAGGGAGGGGACAACCATCATAATAAAAGACAAAGGTAACACGTACACACACCACAACCGGTGCCTTTTCAAGGCTGGACCATCAAATTTGTTACAGGAGGGAAAACAAAATAATGCCTGCAGTGCTCCTCACTCTGAAACGTGGGAGCAATTATCCTTAGATTACCAAGACAAACAAGAGGGAGAGACAAGGAAAAGATAAAGCAGAATTTCCACTATTTAGGTGCTGATAGAGAGATTAAATCCGACTGCACTTCAGCTGGGAGCCTAAACAAACCAGAGGCCCGACCACATAAATCAAGCTAATTTTAAAAGGTTGCATACCAGGGAGAGTTTGACAAAGAAGGGGAAACAACCCCTCGTCCTGCATTGCTGAAGATCTTAACATCGTTTCCATAAATTATAAAGGTGTCAATTTAACACAGACCAGTAAGTCTGGGGCGACGGGACCCACCGTATCAGCACCTCCCAGGCCTTTAGTAGCTCATTAATACTAATTAGATCCGGGAGCGCTCAGCCCTGCCGGCAGCCGCATCCCGGGCACACATCCTGGGACTCCAAGCACACAAAAGCTTTGGACGCGGATTCCAAGAGCGGAGCATCCTGCACCTCGGGAGAGGGGAAGGCGTGGCGCGGGGTGAGCCCGGGGCTCCGGGAACGGGGCGGGGAGGGGGGAGGCGAGGACCCGCGGGGAACTGGGAGCTTCGGCAGCGGGGAGAGAAAGAAAGGGAGAAAGAAGTTGGGGCCGGGAAGTTTTCCGCCGCTCCCCGCCCCGGCGCCCCTCACCGTAGNGGCGTCCCGAAGAAATCCAAATGGGGATAATCCGGCTGCGGCCGCATGCCTCCCACAGCGGCCCGTTCTCCCAGTAACGCGAGGGTGATGGGTTTGGCCTCGAACAGCGGCTGCCGTGGGGTTCCCCAGGCTCAGACCTGCGCCGGACCGAGACTGATAAATCTTTCATGCACTCGCACAGTTTCTCTCAGGTATACGAGGAGTTGTGCTGCAGGGAAAGGAGGACAACTGGCTTGATTAAGTGCATTTCATTTAGGGGATTTGCAGGCTGGTTTGCCCTGACGGTCTCCCCCAGTACACCATGTTTCAGTTTTCTATTTCCCTTTCGTATTTTGGTGAATTTCCCGGTTCTTAAGGTACGCATCTGTTATTTAAAAGTCTAGAATAGAACAGCTGTGAATAAAGCATGCATCCTTCAGCGTCTTTTAAATCATGGCATTGTGACTTGAGTTTTCAGGGGATGTGGGCAAAGAGGTTCAGCTTACTTTGGGTTCCATCCCTGTAATCTCTTGGACTGAGTTTGAGCCTGTCCATGATCAATGTGAAGTGTCTGGGTTCACCCAAGCACTCAGATCCAGTGATTATCTCCATTACCACAGGCTGTTTCCAAGGGCTCACCTCTGTACACAAATTACAGGCACTAACAATTTTTTCTTTATTGAAAGGACAGTTGATTTAGTGTGGACTTGTAGCAGTTATGCTGCCATAAAGCTGCTTTAAAGTAGATAACAGCTCCCACACCTTCTAGCCACATTTCTGTCATCTTGTTTTGTTTTGCAGCAGAGCAGAATAAGAGGATTTACACGGCAAGTTGTGTCTGAAGAACAGCAACTTCACTTAGAAAGAAAGGACCGTAACTCTCAGAGCTCTGCAGCTTGACAAGTCCTGATCCTTTGCTGAAACATGAAGGTTTGTCCTAGGAGTTCCCAAAAACTCCTCTTGGGAGCTGAGGACTTGCAAAGTGGCAGTGAGTTTCCAAGTGAGTTTGAGTTCCCTTACACCATATAGTTGTGTCTGCAATGGAAGCTGCATTAACTGTTTCAATGGAGGAAAAAGTCCTGCCAGCCTCATGATTAATTGATGAAACCTCATTTCTGTGAGTTTCTGTCTCATGCTCGACTGAGAGCTTGACCTGAATCTTGCCCTACAATTGGGTCACTCTCTGCACAGTTGGGAGAGAGCAGGATGAGTTCTGCCATGGTGGGTGTATGCACCCTGCTGCAATTTCCAGGCTGAGCTGGAAAATGAAGAAACCTCCTTCTTCCAAGTGTTAGGTTGTTTTGTGATTGGCAAATCACAGAACAGGTGTAGTCCAGTTTCCTACAGATTCATACCTGATATCTGGCAGAGGCTGGGCACCCTCAGTGAAGAGGCTTGTAGGATCTCACTGCGCCAGGATTAGCTCTTGGACCTTTATCCCTCTGTTTGTTTTGTTTAAAACAAACCAGTGAGTTTGACACTTCCTGAGGTTGTTGGAGGTGAGAGACAGGACCAGGGGTAAGAAAGATCCAGTGAGTTTAATGGTGTCAGCTTCAATTCTTTGGGAAAAAAGGATTTTAAAACTACCCTCTTAATCAGGAAGAGTTAAACCAGGATGAAATCTGGTGAGGATTTGACCCTCCACCACTGTGACAGGGGTGATTCTGCACAGAAGAAGTACAGCTGGGACACCCAGTAACATTTCCTTGCTTCTTCCCACTCTAAAACATGTTCTGCAGCATGGTTTCCAAAGTTCTGGGAGTTGAGGTTGTGCAGGATACTCCTTCCAGAGCAGACATCTGCATAAATTACCATAATAATACCGTAAAGCAGTAGGAAAAGCAGTTTTTCCCTCCTACATGCTCTCTACCCCGGCTCATTCCCAATGCTCCTGATAATATAAAATGTACATATTCTCCTAGCTTATCATTTAGTGGCCACAATCCAATAAACTCCTCAAGGTTTTCCCCTCCTGCTCTCTCCACAGCCCCCTTCTTGCCACCAGCCTCCCATCCCTCACACGAGCCCGGGCTCTTTCCCTGCTGCAGGAAACTCGCACAAGCGGACACAGGAGGAAAGGGGGATGAAGCTGCTTTGAGAAGCACAAGAGGAGCTGGTGTGTTGTGAGGGAAGGATGTGGCTGCTAAGCTTCTGCCAAAAGTGGAGTTTAAAAAAAGCTGCCGCACAATCCTGGGACGACGTTTACGCAGGAACGGCGCAGGACAGCAGCAACTGGTTCCCATCAAGCGGGGACTGGTTGTATCTGCAAGTATGATCAAGCCATCCTAACTGCAAGGTCTGGAAGGACTGGCTAGTGTGGTTTCTGAAATTCACATGGCAGCAGAAGACAAAATCCATTCTCCAGTCTTTATTCGTGGGGTTTGGGGCAACATAAACAGTAATAAAGAGCAGGGATGACTAAAATAGGAAGGCTGGTTTTGCTGGCATGACAGGAGCAAAAATAGACATATTTTATAAATAAAGATGTCCTGGAAATCAGAGACTCCCAAGTTTCACGCTCACCAGTTCAGCTGTTCTGGCTGGGGGTCTTCTCCACCAGCAGTGCTCAAGGGATTTGTGAAGGCATAAATGAACTGTAATATAAGCACATGCATGAAATGCCCTTCGTGCAAACCAGCCCCATTAGTTGATCTACTTGTGGATGTCATTTCAACCCACAAGTTCTAGTTAAATTAGGGCTGGGGGTTTGCTCAGAGTAGGTTAAATCCAATTATTTGAAGAGAGCTGCACGTGTATTTTCATTAAGCCCGAGACTTCTGTAGGTGTTGTGGAAGAAAAGAAATCAAAGTACACCAGTGTGACTTGAGAAAAGAAAGCTTTTGAGCTGACCTTCTTCCAGGAGAATAAATTCATGTCTTCAGAAGTGAGCAAGTCTCACTTCAGTGATCTTATCTCAGAAGTAAAAAGGCAATAAGAAAATGAGAAGAGACGTGGAGGAGGGCGGTAAGGACAGTGGAAGTGATGGGATAGATACCATATGAGGAGGAAAGACTAGAAAAACAAGGAGACTCCAGTTTGGAAGAACAAAACCTTGGGGCAAGTAAAGACAGAGAAATCTGAAGGTGTCAAGAGAGGTCTGGTATGGACGTGGAATTCTTTTTCCCTTTTCTTCACAACACAAGAACATGGAGAGAAATGTTCAGGAGCCAGGTCTGAAGCAGACGAAAGGAAGTACTTTTGCACACAACACATAATTATATTGTGGAACTTATTGCCACAGGATGTCATGGAGGCCAAAAGTATAAATGAATGAGAAAAAAAACAACAGGGATTACACAAATTCATGCAACCTCCGGCTTAGGAAGTCCCTCAACTGCTGATTACCAGGAGCTGGGAGGAAATGCCAGAGGAAGGATCACTTTATACTCTCCCTCTTCCAATATCCCTTCCTAAGCATCTGCAGCTGGCCAAAGCCAGGCCCTAGTTGTTGCCCGAAGTGGAGGTTTATTCTGAGGCAGTCTGACAATGTTTATATCCTCCTGGCAACTCCCTCACAGATGGAGCCTTAGGGAGCAGAGGCATCTCCTGGTGAGGTACAGGACCGACCCCTAATTTTGTTACCTGCAGCGGTCACAGCCACGTCCGTAGTGGCCACTCTTTGCTGATTTAGGCTGGTGTAATTGAGGCCAGATTGAGCCCTGGAACCTTCAGAGAGACTCTTCCGCTTTCCCTGCCCCTGGGATTAAGCACTGAAATCTCTGTGCTAAAACCCTCTTTGAACGGGGATGGCAGATAATGCGCAAACTGATTAAAAAAAACCCCCAGCACTGGGGAAAGTTAAATATTAAAGAGCCAAGGCCCAGTTTTAACTGCTGCTGCCGTCCCTCCTTCATCTCGTGCCAACTGCCTCCAGGATACATGTGCTGACACTGAATCTCTACCTCACAAAAGCGGCCGCAGCATGGGCTTTAGAACTCAGCCCATTAATACTGGGATGGGAAGCAGAAAAATAGAACAAAGACAGCGAGGGACTCCTCTGCTTCCCACTCTGACCATGCCCGATCCGTCCCTGCAGCATCACAGGGCATGGTACCCCTACCCCAGTGAGGCATTTTGCCCCTTTGACTTCTCAACATTAGTTGCTCTAAAATATTTTGCTGCCTGCTTTGCCCTGCTGTAACTAAAACTATAATTTTCACTAGCAGAGAAGAGGGATTTGGGAGAAACATCTGGTCTCATTTCATCAGGATAACAGCTCTGTCTCTATTTATACACGCGCCAGGATCGTTGTGGCTCTCAGCTGTTCTTCTCCCGACAGTCCCTTTCAAGCTGCCGTGTCCTGCTCTGTTGGGGCAGTCCCCGGGTTGAGGCCAACCTGCTGCCACATGAAACAGGAACCAGGCCCAAAAATGTGGGCTTGTGAGAGCTTGTCCCCTCCACACCTGGGGCTTGCTGTCTGCCAGGCTGGTGATGATGTGCCGTGATGGATGGTTGCTCCTGTCCTTGTATCCTGCTGGGGAAAACTGGGAAAACCCATCTGACTAGACAGTTTGCTGGAAACTGGATGATCTTTAAAGTCCCTTCTGACCCAAACCATCCTGTGACTGGAAAATCATTTTCTTGGTAAATCCAGAGACTTTGCTGGTCAGGGATCAGCCCTGCAATGAGTCAACCTTATTGGTCTGAGTATACCAACCTCAATGGACTGAATTTTTCTCCGAAATCACAATGTGGATTTTGGGGGAAAGCTCAGACCATTGAGGAAAGACCAGCTGATTCTGACTTTTCTCTAAGGTGTTAGGAAATAAACTGTGACCCTACAGAGACACGGGAAGGTCAGGGAGTCTGCTTGGGAAGGCAGCACGTCCTACTTAATTCACCACAGTGGGAAAAATCCGCTCTGCTGCCTCCCCTCCAGTGCTCACAAGACATCACATCTCATCCAGCATGTTTAAAAAAACCCCTCAAGTCAAATGGCCAAGTACCTGGAAAATTACCACGTAGCACATTCAGCAGTGCAGCCGCCATCTGAAAGGAGCGCTCATAGCCTGGATGATGATGGGGTGTGGGTCAGCATTAATCATCTCAAGCAAGTCTATCCCACTGCCCTGCTTTTCCCTTAACCAGGCTGTGCCTCTGCTCCCATCCCGACCCTCTGAGAGCCCCTGACACACAGCTATTTCAGCATCACTTCCCCTCCTCTTTTCAGCAGCTCTGGACTTTGCATTAATTGTTTTCTTGCACTCAGCTGCTAAAGGAGGAACCGCTCAGAGACACGGGGGTTTTGTAACCCAGAATGAGACCAGCGTTTTCTGATGCTCCTATTGATTGTACTAAGGTTGCAAACTCCCTGGAGCAGGATTGAATTTCACCCTGCATTTATACCTTCTGATGTGATCCTGCCCCTTCCATGTACTCCTTCAGAACACTATTCTCAGCTGTGACCTGAGGTTCAGTAGATCAATATTTGTTTACTCAGCTTGGGTCTAATTTTCATATGCTCTGGGTAATCCAAGTCCACCCAAAAGCAGCAGAAAGGGCCACTCCTGCCAATTGCATGAATCAGACTGAAATGTGGACCCTGCCTAAAACACCAGCCTTTGGAGCAACTCGAGGCAGGAAATATGACTCAATCTTGGGAGAACATCATCCAAATATAGACCCTGCTGATGCTGTGGACAGTTTGGGCCAAGGGGTCACCAACTGAACCCTTGTGAGCTCTTCACTTCCATGACTTTTCTGACTGAGAAACGTTTTTCTTCCTCATTTGAGTCACTCCTTTTGGGGCACATCAAGTATTTTTTGTAAAATGTGTCAGAAGTGCACCAAACCAGCCAAGTTCTATGTAATTGCTGAGAAACATTCTCTCAACCTAAGCAAAACTATTCAGAGGAGACTAAGGGAGCAGCCTGACATAATAGCACCTTATCCTTCCAGCTTGATGTTCTTAGGGTGATATGTGCCTTCATCCCAACCCCTTTATAAAAAGCAAATCTGAAGGCATATGCAGCACTAAATGCAATTTTTTCCCTCCTCATAGTATTTGGGGAGGAGGGAAATGAAGAAAGGCTGGTGCTGGAATAGAAAGGTCTGATTTTGGATCTTTTCTTTGGAAACAAGGAATGGCTGGATGTGGCCATGCCAGGGTACCTGAAGTTTCATTAAAAGCTCTCACAAGTCAGCACAGGACCCTTGTTAAAGAAGGTGGAGGTTCCTCTCTGTCTGCTGGAGCTGCTCAAATCATCTTCCATGACAACATCCCCTCACCTTGCAGGTCAGGAATATCCAGACATAAAAAAATCCTTCGGCCTGTCAAAAGCAGTCAGCTGGCTTTAAAGCCCAAATGACTTTTTTTATTTTATTTTTTTTTTTAACATTTCTCCTTTTAATAGTAGCTGCCTGTCTGCTGCTGTCCTGAATTTAAAACAAAATAACCAGCCTCCAGCAACCTTCAGAACAGATCTGTAAAACTCTCCAACTGACTCTAACAAGCAAAGGCAAGACTGTGACAAACCTGCCAGCTTTCTCTTCATGGGCTGGATCATCTTCAGGGAGCCCAGGACTGGTGTTTAAAAATGTAGCCTTTGAACAGATCCTTTATTTTGTGATTAAACTGGTCCCCAGGACACCGGGGAGGTGACAGCAACAGATGCTGTGATGAGTCAGTGCAGAAAAGGTCGTGGGATGGACGTGGGGTCAGTGAAAGGCTGCAGTTACTGGACTGTAACTCAGCCAAAGAGGTTTGGGTTTTGTCTTTGAGGAAGAAATGAGGCCAGTATGGAAGGAATGATTTATTTGTCTCTATTTTTCTTGTCAGGGTCCCAGTTAGATGACTTGGCTTGAAGTTTGAGCAAAGAGTAGTCACTAGATTTATCTGCATCTCTAGAATCATGGGCTTCTTTCTCTGGGCTGTCTTGTATTACAAATGTAACCAACTTCCCCCCCTGTATTTTTGTTCTCCCTTGCCTGAACAGATGGGTTCCCTTCCTTCACTATTGTGAGCAGAGGCAGATGCAAATAAATAGGCACTTGTGCTCTGTTGTGTGGTTACCTAGAGAGGCTGTTGTTTGCAAACAAAGGCTGTACCAGGACACAGACAACCTCGTTTGGTGTAGCCTGGAGATGGCTCTTCATTACAAGTACAGCCCCGGGTTCTCCACGCTGCACTTCCACATTTACCACAGGATCCTTCAGCAAGCAGGAGTGATGGAGCACTGTGAGATGCTGACTCCTCAGAAGAAAGGAGGAGCAAACGCCTCCTCTCCCCTCCCAGTCCAGCAAGCTGTTGTTCCTTGAGATGTTTGAATAAAGGAAAAACACGGCTCTGGAGCTTGTAACTGCTCACACCCACACAAATACAACATCCAGCCTTCTCCCCTGTCCCGTGAGCAGACCCTGACAGTTGATACAAATTCCCTTGCACCACAAACATGAGCTTCCCCTGGTTTTACAGGGGATGGATAGTTTTGGGAATTTCCACCTGGACCACACAGAAGTACTTGACTGGAGCTGCCAGCTCTCAAAGCCAAGTCCAGCCTTGCATCTGACTAAGAGGGCACCTGCAAAGATGCTGGATTGGAGATGCATCCCTGCCACTCACCTGTGAACCTCCTGGGAGCAGAGCTTATCCCAAAGGCCATGGCTGGTCCCACTCCAGGGACAGGCATCACGGTGGCATGGATGAGATACTTCAGTCCTTGTTAAAAACACAGAGATCATGAAAGCTTTCTGCTGATGCTTGTGGTTGTTCAGGCCATGTTTAAAACAAGATGTTGGAATCCAGAACTGGGCTGCATAAATGAAAACTGAGCCTCAGCGCAGGAATGGTGGAACATGGCTGTGTGGTCACAGCAGCCCTTCAGCCCTAGGAGTGTAATCAAGATGTAGGATTGCAAGGAGATTTGGGACTGGTACAGAGGCAGGCTGAAAAGCACAGAAGAACACTTGAGAAGAAGCACCTGAACAGCTACACCTCTGTTGAACACAAGGATTTAAGCACAGGACACAATCAGAGAGTGATGTAGCTTTGTGTTTTTGAGCAGTGTTCTCTCCTGAGGAGAAGGTCTGGCCTCCCTTGGTTACCATGTGAGCCTCAGGTCTCACTCCTCAGGCCTTTGTTTTTCCTGCCAGGGTCTCTGCAAGGATTTTGATGGTCACTCCCACTAGGTGAGAGAGTACTAACCTACCTGGGTATTTATTTGAAGAGATGAGCAGCAATCCCTCCAGGAGGTAGCTGCTGCTCACACTGTGCCTATATAGAGTTTGGGGCATCAGGTAATTCTACCCAAGTCAATTAAAAGTGTCCCAGGAAAAAAATACAGCCATGCTTTTCCAGGAATAAAGCAGGCAATTTGGAGCACAGGTGACAGCAGTGCTATCCATACAGGAGAGGAGAGAGTTCTGAAGGTGTTGGGCAGACTGGAGCAGCACTCAGCTTCTGCAGCACAGGGAGAAGACCAGCAGCATAGGATGCTACTCTTTTTACAGCCCCTATTCTTCCCTTAATTACAAGCTTAAGTGACGGCTAATAAAGATGATCCAAAACAAATAAATTGAGCTGCTGCGGTAATTAAGTGGCTTTTGCTGCATGGAGTGAGCCAGAACCCATCTGTGTTGTAGTTCAGCAGAAGCCAGGAGGGTTCTGCAAGGGATCCATTTCAATTGCATCTGAGCTGCTTCAAAGCTGGAGCTGATCATCCTGATTCCTACACTGCTGGCCAAGAAACACCAGTCTGTCCCCCAGACAGTGATCCTGGGCAGGGGCACAGTCCTTCACAGACGTTCAAGTTGGTTACATCTGCCGTCATGGCAGGTGAGATCTTCCTTGCTAATGGTAGGGAAGCTGGAAGCTGGTGGGAAGCAGCATTTGTTCCTCTGGGAATGGAAAAATACCACAGCAATGACACTTGGTTCTGTGCCCCTGGTTTTTAATCAGGGCTGTACAGCAGAGACAAGAAGCAATTACTGCTGGCCGTATGCTTATTTGATGGATGAAATGAGCTGACAGACTCCCTGTGGCAAAGTGCAGCAAAAGGCTTTTCAAGTTGTCCACTCCAGCTCACAGGTAAGGGCTGATCCTTGCAAGGGCAGATGTGAAGGACAGCGTACACAGAGCGAGCCCACGCCGTGGCTGCCCTGCAGATGTACAGCTTGAATTCCAGGAGCCTGAGCTCCCAGACCACAGCTAGTGCTCCCAAAAGCCACCACTGCCCAGATGTGCAGTGCCCAGCCCTCTCTGCAGGGACAGTCTGAAATGTTTAGGGCTTCCTGTGCATGAGTGCAGATTTTTGCCTGAGAAATTCCTGAGCATCCAGGAGCTTCATTGGGTATTTTTCCCTCTCACCTCTGTATTTTCCATGAAAGTGTAGTCTCAGCACTTCTATGACCATAGCTGATATTCTAAAATCCACTTGACCCAGAGAAGAGCCAGTTCATGGTCCTTTTGCAGGATTCTAATCCAGGTTGTGCAAGATGTGTAGTAACAACCTGGTCCATCTAAAAATGGTATCAGCGCTCAGCTTGAGCCTGCTCCCTTCTCCTTCACATCACCACAAGGCACCAGGGCTAGTGGTCACGACCCTGGTAAGAGAGGCACTCCCTCCCTAAACTACTAAAGGACCACCTGTTGGAGCTAATCCTAGAAGGAAAAAGGGGATAGACAGAAAATCTCACACACGTTCAGTTGCTGCTGGAGCACTGATCAGGACACAGATCTTTTCTCTCAGTCCCATTGCTGTTACTTTGCTCTTTAGAGCTCTTGCAGGATTTTATGAGAGGAATTTGACTCTCTTCCTGATCCCAGGTGCCAGACAGAAGGGTGCTCACATGCAAACGCGCTGCTTGGCTCACAGATAAGGACACACAGGTGGTGTGATCACCACTGCCAGCCTCCAGAACAATCAGCCAGCCAAGTTCACCCCACACCTGGCATGGCATGGGCTGGACAGCCACGTTGGCACTGCCACACCCAACCCCAGGCCTGGTCTGTGTCAGGTAGCTGCTGTGTGGAGCAGTAACTGCTGGGTGTGCTGTGGTCTTCCTCATTTGTTAGGCTGGAGCAAATAGCCACACTGATTTCTCCACCCCCAAAATTTTTTGTCTCATCATCCCTCCCCCACATGCGTTCCCATCCGCCTTCCGGACAGAGAGTTATTATAAGAAGTTTCAGCCCAAGGAGAACATTATTTTCTCTGAAAATAGTTTTCTCCAAAAATCATGCGCAAGACAGCGCAGCTTTGGAGTGTGAAATCCCCCAAGGGGAAGGGACAAAGTTGTGGTTAAACTATGGGGTGGAGAGTCAGCAGATCGGGGTTCTCATCCCCTGGCTCTGCAAGCTCTGACTCAACCCATGGCCCCTGAATGTTTGGTTTCCCCACTGGGAAAATCGGTGTGATGACACACTGTGATGGCAGCACGCAGCCCTTTTTTACTGCTGGGAACCACCACGGGCTTCTGCAAAGGCACATTCTCTCACAAAATAAAATAATAAAAATAAAAATTTTAAAAAATCAAGCCTTTGGAAGCCAAAATGCTCCTCTGCAAAGTTTTCATCAGGTGTGGTTCACTGAAGCTGCAAAGATCTACTTAGATACTCTAAATACTTACCCAGCATTTTTATATTCACCCAATATTGAAAGCACCAGGCAGTGCTCAATGCCCAGTGCCCTGGGATGCTGTTCTGGGAGCAGGACTGTGAGGAGTTGCAGTGACCCTGTTGCCTCTCAAGTCCCACTAAGCTGGAACAGGGCATCCTTTCTTTTTTCCCCATCTTCTTTTCCCCATCACTCATCTCTCCCCTTCAGCACCCTCTGCAGCTCAGCCTCAAACCAGGGCTTCCTTTGCTTTCCCCCCAAGTCCAGTACTGAAGATGTTTGCTCCCACCCCACCATGCTGGAGCACTCCAAAGATACTCCTCAGCTTTAATTGTAAAAGCTTTATGAGAAACTGCCCTGGCAAGAGGATGGTGGAGTCTTCCCTCCTGCAGGCTCTGGTGTTCATCCTGGGACAAGCCTCCTGAAGAGGAGATTTTCAAACTGCAAAAGCAAAGCTTCTGATCATTTGGGGTGCCCCATTCCCTCCTCTGCAGCCCCACAAAATACAGTGATCACTGCAAAGGCTTGTGGCACTTATTGGTTCACTGAGAATAATGTAATACCCTTACACCGGGGAAGTGAATCGAGTCATGTTCCTCAAGGGAGCTTGTACCTGCCCTGCTTGTCTCCAGAATTTGCTGTTCCTCTGCTCCCCTCTTTCAGCTCCAATCATCTCCCTCTCCAGATCCCCTTTCACTTTGGATCTCTCCTTGTCCCTTCTACAAACACAGACAGAGTAGTGGCACCAGCTTCACACACCAGAGAAAGCCCAGCTTCACACATCAGAGAAAGCTCTGGAACTGGATTGTGCCTCCAGCCCCCCTCTTCAAACCCTCTGCCCTGTCCATTTGCCCTGAAACCCTCCTTACCATGAGAACCTGCTTAATTTTTATAGTATTTGGGCAACCTCTTACAACAGCATAAGCCCTGTTTTCAAATCAGCCCTTTTAAAGGCTGCAGTAGTAAGAAAAAAATTACCTCTCTTCACTGATTAATTTCCAGGCTCTTTACCAAGAAGTAGGAGTCTTTGATTACCTTTAACAAGTGTGGACACTGAGTTTACACAGGTGACTTGGCCAAGATCTTCTGGAGCTGGAAGATGTTGTAAGTCCCATCTCAGTGAACCTTACTAAGAACAGGATATAAACAAACGTTACGATGTTGTAAAAGGTGTACAAGACAGAAGAAAAGTGGAAAGTTAAATCCAGGATGCAAGGCAGTGTGATGTTCAGATCTCCCTCCTCTCCCACCTGTCACTTCCAGTGTCTGCCAACCCACCCCAGCCTAGACCCCCATCACAGTGGAGCATCCAGGGTCCATTTGCCATGTCCTTGAAAAAACAGAGCTCTAAAAAAGTGTGTTTCTAACTTTTCCTAAATATTTTCACTGGGGAAAGGGGATGTCAAGCTTAAAACCCACAAGGCCTCATGTACCTGCACCCAGGAGCTAAAATCCACAGAAGTTTCCTGCAATGATCAAAGACTAAAAGAAAATAACATCCAAAACTGTCCTAGCACTGCTGCTGCTCAATGCTTGCTGCCCTTTTCCCACCACCTCCCATGGGGCAGCATCCCCTGTGTCAGGAAGAGCATGCAGAGAATCTGCCTGGCCTCATGTACCTGCACTAAGAATCTAAAATCCATGGAAGTGTCCTGTAATGTTCCACCCAGCCTTTCAATGCGTGAGTAATGCTTACACCATCCTTCTCGCACCAAGCTCTTCATGCTGAACCATCTCCTTTGGTTTTCCAGCCCTGGAGCGGTTTCTCTTGTGCCTTCACAAGAGAATCACAATCCTGAAGTCCAAAGGGGTGAAAAGGTCTCCCCTCCTCTGAAAAACCTCACCGGTATTCCCGAAGAAAGGAAATCCCTATGCAGTGAAGCAGAGCTGTTGCTGGGCTGTTGCTGCCATCTTCTGCCCACCTGGAACTTTGCTGCTCACGACTTCCCCAGCCTTTGGCCCATGTCGAGGGAGAGGAGGGAAGGGAAAAGCAGGGATACAAGAGTTTAGGCTCGTGTTCCCTCATCGGTCAGTGTGGGTGAAGATCCAGGTGTGTGCCATGGAAGTTGCCCCCTTCAAGCCTTGGCATCGTGGCTGTGGATGAGGGATGCCAAGCTCTGCCGATGGAGAAGGCACAGGCTCTGCCTGAGGAGCCACATCCAGGAGATGAAGGGGCTAAACACACTCAGTTAATGCAATTGCTAAGTGGACTGTTACTAGACACAGCATGAGCTGTTCACGTTTCCTCCTGGAAACACAGGGAAATCAAATGTTTAATTCAGAGAGAACAGCAGGACTGCGTGATTTCTCTCCTGACACCCATCCAGTGGGGGTTTTTTGGCAGGGAAGCAGGGTAAGTGGTGTGACTGGCACTAAAGCTGTGGCAGCAGAGCGTGTCGTTGATCAGAAGGTAAGGATACAGAGCCAGTGTTTTCCAAAACAGAAAAGACTTCTTTCTATTTGTTCAGAGCTTTAGTTCTGCCTGAACCGCTGCCTTGCAACCCTCAGATTACTTCTTTCCCCCTTACCCTGTCATTTTTGGCAGAGTGTGATGCTTGGGGGAAGTATTTTCCTAGCAGTGGGCTGTTAAAAGATGTAAAAAAACTACTGAAACAAACTTTTTCAAACACCAAGCCCCACCATGGGGGTTCAGCTCAGCAGATCTTTGGCCCCATCCCTCTTTGGGATTACTTGTGTCTGGTCACAGGTTAAGGAGGTGCTGTAGCAGATTCCTGGAGGTGTGGTATGAGGACATGGTGCAATTGCCAACCACCTGTGGCACAATCTCTCTGGTTCTTCTGGTTCTGGCCATGGGACATGGACTTAACCAGTGTAAACAGCAGCAGGGGGCAGCACATGAAGCATGACCCTACACCTGGGCATTTCAGCTGTCAAAAATTAATCAAAAAAACTGGCATCTTGTCCCTTTGGCACCTATCTGT